ACAAGTGCCTTACTAGTAGTAACAGGTGCCTTACTAGTAGTAACAAGGACGCATCTCTTTGCGCACACGCCTCTATGCCACCGCCAGCAACAAAGGACCGGTCCATGGGATCGCCGGTCTTGTTCACCTGCCGTATCGTTTTACTTCGCACAATCACAATCCTTTCACCAAAGGAAGCTAGCGCTAGCAGCTCGCATACGGAGTGACTGAAGCGCGCTAGCATCGGAAGGGTACTCGGTTGGACCATCCCCCGCCTCCGGACCAAATCGGCTTGGCAGCCTCTCCGAGGTCCGACACTTGGCCCTGGCGAAGAGTTGAGCTGAGAGTAGAGCTGAGAGCTGAGTAGAGTAGAAATAAATGAGATTGAAAAATAGCTGTGTGAATTTCTGAACTCTGACTTCAGCCTCACCGCCCCACAGCTTTGCAGTTGACCTTCCCTTTGAAAGACCCAATTAGTGATTGCACTAAGTACACTTCAAGTTGATTCCGCATGTCTTGGCTGCAAACTTATATATGCCAAATAGGAGTCATGTTGAGTGGAAATAATGGCAGCTCCGTGTTGGCCGTTGGTGTTGCTAAGCAGTGACATTTGTCAGGCAGCCTGAAGTAGTCACGTAACTCCTCCACAACAGGGCAATCGCCGCCTGGGAGGCACAATACGCACTGCGTAGCAGACAACGCTTCGGCAGTCGGCGACAATACAGAAGGCCGCCCGTTGCCCTCTGAACTGATCTGAGATCCGATTGCACCCAAACTGTTCGGCCTGAGACGCGCTTTTGCCGTAGTTGGATTCCTGGTCTGATGACCTGCGGGTGACGCATCTGAACAACAGCCGTTATCCTTGGTGCAGTATATTGCTTTGTCATGGTGGTTGTGACAACACTTACATAGCTAGCTTGAAATCAGTTCACCACTTAAGCCAGCATATTGCTTAAGGTACTCACGATCCGCACAGCCCAACACCGGTTACAAAAAACACTATTCAACTCCAAATTATACTCGCCGCTTGCCTATCTCCAAGCTTCGTCTGACTCGCCACTCAGCTAGTTAGGCATGCTAAAAAAATGGATCATCTTTCACCTAGTTCAAAACCCAGGCAGCTTAGGTTAACTTTGGCAGGTTCTATAACATATATATATATATCTATGCTTGCCCAATTGGCTGGGCACAAGTTAGCAGTTTAGCTTAAACTTGGAAAGACTTGGCACGGCGTCCAGCAACCGTTTACTTTCTGCAACTGCTTCCCAACCGGCAGTTCTCCATTATAGTCAAATTATGGTCCCTTCTTGTTCCAAAGTGGGGATTCACAAATTGTCCAACTGCCCAGACTGTCCTGATTAAATTTCCGCACGATGCCAGGCTCTTCGTCGCTGCCGGCGATAAGTGGCACAAAGCCATTGATCAGCCAAGTCCAAACCTCCCATGTCACATGAAATCGTCAGTCCCGCACAAGACTCGTGCCAGCAAATGTTATGAAAAGAAACACAACTTAAAACTACAAAAATCTGCAAAACAATGTTGCTGTTTGTAAATCTCCTCGAGCCTCATCGGTGGCGCTGATGTTGTGGAGACGAATCCTCTTTGCAACAGGCTGCCCTTGCAGTTCTGAGATCTCGTGGCTAACCTGTGGAGATGGCCCGACTCAAAGATCAAGTTCTGCACCCGAGAAAATTCACAAATGTTTTTATATTGCAAGCTCTCATATCCACGAACTCGGGGCAAGCAGAGTTGTGTGGTAAGCAATTTCATGTTTCACGCTGTTCTTAAGAAGGTCCGGCTTTGATTCCATTCGAAAAAAGGTGGACGACTGGGTTTCTTTTCATTTAGGACCCCCTTCAAAGGGGCCTTCTTGAATTGGCCCAGTGTCCATCTTTTCCTGGGGGCGTTGCGAAGGGTTCTTCTGTAGAAGTTTTTTGCAGAACACATCTGCATCGATATGTATGTTGTAAGTATACTATAAGCTACATCTGCAGCTGGCGTGCGTGGTTTTCTACCATAACTACATTGGTATGTATGCTTTAAGTACATCTGCAGTTTGCATGCGTGGTCTTCTAGACCTGCTTCTAGGGAGGTGGTAGTACATGTGCAAATACATTTGCAACTTGTACAGTTGCAGCTGTATGTGTGCTACATAGGTATGCTAGAAGTACATCTGCAGCTTGCAGGTATGGCTGTGTAGAGCTGCTGCTACGCTAGAACTGCTTTGGTGCTGGTATCTTGCTTTGGAGAGCTGCTTTGGTGGGATCTTGCTTGGGTGGATTGCTTTGGTGCGGGATCAACTTTCGCTAGTAGTGCTTTGGTGCTGGGATCTTTTTTCGGTGAGTTGCTTTGGTGGTGGGATCTTGCTTGGATAATTTTTGCTGGGATGTTGCTTAAGTAACATCATGGCAAAGTCAAGTATAACTTTCGCTGGGCTCTTGCTTTATTAAAATCATGCCAAACGTGACTCTCTACGGAGATCGTACACGAGCGCGTGGTGAGATGCAAACTCCGACTGCGCTGCATCACGCATTTCGAGCTCTCAAACATGTCTGGAAATGCAGGTTCTGGGTGGGATGAATTCTCTGCGTGTGGTGAAATGCAAGTTTGGCAAAGCCGCAGCGAACCCTCCGCGGAGATTGTGCGTGTCGAGCGCTCAAACGTGTGGTGTGCAACGAGAAGTGGCCACTTGCTTGTTGTAGACGCACTAGCAAGAGCGTCTGCCAGCGCGCCGTTTTCACCTAAGGCGCAGCACGAAATGGCTTCAGGCCTTGATCCAAGCGAACATGAACAACCATGTTCCTCCGCCTGCCCAACACCGAAGAGCAAACTCAACTTTCACAGTTCATCCCCTTCTCTTGTGGCATTTGAGGGGTTGGGCAACGGCTGAACACGGTCACGAGCAAAGCAACAGGCTCCTCAAGCATCGATCGAGGATTCTGGAGCTCTCGCATGTCGACAGAGTCTTCCAACTGTCGCCAAATCACACTATGTTCGCTGTCAAAGCGGGCAAAAGTGGAACGAAACGCATGTGTCGTTCTTGAACAGCGTGGCTCTGGGGTCCTGTACGAACGAGCCTGACGGCACACGTTGACGGCCAAATCTTCATTCAAAACATGCCAACCTGAGCTCTGTGAGAGCTTCATCACATGGCCAAACAACGGGGAGGAGCTTTCAAAAGGGACTCCCATGTCACTTCTCACCACCCTTCCGGTCTGTTGTGAGTTAGCCATGGGCTTCTTACTTTTGGACGTCTGTTTGACGTACTGGGAGGAAAACTGTACACACCACTTGCAATCTCTCAGGATCTTGTGAAGGTGTTGAGGGTCAAGCTCCTTAGTGCCGCAGTCTACGATCATGTTCTCTGTTGCTGTCCAACGCATGCTCGTGTTGCATCGAGCCAGCATTGAACGAATCCAGCTTATGGTGAAAGCTAAACTCTTTTGGCTGCCATAGCTCGGCGTTTCTGAGCAGGATTTGTCGAATGCATCCTTGGCGTCGGTGACAACCAACAGGGGCACGGAATCCTTAGCGAAGGGCTTCCGGTCGAGTGGATGACCGAAAGCTTCGCCAAGCACGCCGCGGCAATATTGCCCGGCATCCAGCGCCTCCTCAATGCCCAGCAACTCTGCGGCAAATGTCGATCTGCATACCCGGTTCAGTCTATGAGACCGGGCGTCCAACACTGTGAACTTGCCTTCTCTGCCGCTCATGAGGTTTTCGTCAGCAATGAGGACAAAGTAGGCGGCTTGACTATAGACCTTCTTGATGGCTGCTTCGTGGGAACTACCGCTTTTCGTCGCATTGCCAAGCGAGGCATCAGAAACAACGAGGATCCCAGCATTCTTCATGTCCAAGGGCTTGAAGTGCAGAGCGAAGTCTGCGTGGAGCTTTGCCTTTCTAACTAAGGCGTTGGCGCGGATCAACGTCTCGATGGTCTGGGAAGCACCCTGCAATGTCGACAACTGAAATTGCAAGTCAAAGCGAACTTGCGCTACCAGCCACTGCAAACTCCCAAGGAGAGCTCTGAGCTGGCGTTGTTCCCCAGGCATCAAAGTAGCTTCTGGATTCTTCTTTCGAAGTGGGTTGATGCGCACCTGCTGAAGATTGCTATGGTACTCTTCCATGGAAACTTTCACTGAAAAATCTTCAGCTTGCTCAATCTTCTTTCCACAATACGGTGGAGGTGGAACCAAACCCGAGTTCGGCACCCAGCAATTGCAAGGTGTGGTGCGCACGAGGGCCTCCGGCCAGTAGCAAGTCATCCACGTGGGAGATGAGGATGCCTTCCAATTTGGAGCCTTCCCACAGGAACCACATGGCCGAATCCAGAGCTGAAAGTTGCCAACCATGGTGTTGTACTGACTTGCATAACCTCTTATACCAACGACGAGGGCTGTCAGCTAAACCAAATACTCCCTTTTTCACACGGCATAAGCCTGCTTCAGAGAATGGTAGGCGTGGCTCATCAGGTGCTCTGGTCTTCACGTTGGCGAGGTAGAGGATGCGTTCATTGGGGCCAAACTCTTCACCTTTCATGAACGCTGACTTGATGTCAGCACTTGCCAGCTTCCACTTCATACTGGCGGCAAAGGTCAGCAAAAGATGCTGAGAAGTTCTCGACGCTGTTGGAGCATCACAACGAAGGCCATATGCACTAATGTCTTGGTATCCGGGGACGACCAGTCTGGCGTTGGCCTTGAGTGGAAGGTCCCGGTCTGCCGTCCTCAGTCCGTCATTCTTGTCCACATAGACGAAGCGAGGAACCAAGATGCGGTGGCTTTCACCTTCTGTCTTCAACTTCTGCCTAATGCGGGCAGCTTCGGCATCTGGAAGAGGTTCGATGGCTTCATTTTCAACCCATACTGACCATCCTTTGGCTGCTGCTTCACGGAACTCCTTTTTCTCAAAGTCCGACATGTGACTCCATACATGCTCCTTACGAGCAGTGAGCACTGCAAGCACTTCCTGAGCAGCATCATCATTGCCAAGGGGCCAAAGTTGCTTCAGCATTTGCCGTCGTTTGAATTCTGTCCTCGAGGGGAGAGGCCAATTGCCACGCCATGTCCCATGGTCTCGGACTCTGGCTTCCAAGGGATTTAGACGATCCTGTTCCGCCATGATCTGGATCTGACGGAGCGGATGTACATTGGCATAGGCTTCCATTTCCATCACTTCATGAGTCACTCTCAGGGCTTCGGAAGCTTCATCAGGAACTTCATCTGGAGGTTGAGCCGGAGTTGGAGCAACAGGGTCTGGTTGAAGAGCTTCTTCACGCAAGCGCTCAGCATCCAGTTCAGCAGGCCTCTTGGAAGCTTGTGACTCGCCGCTAGCACTTGGGGCGGCACTGGAAACGCTCTGCCGTCTCTGTTCAAAGGCAGCTCGTACAGCTTCAGGAAATGGAGATGTACCTAAGTCTGGCAAAGAAGAAGTATGTCGAGACCATCCTCTTGAGATAGGACCACCTTGAGCATTGCCGAGGGCTTGCACAAACTCTTGAGGATGTAAAGGTGGTAGATCGGCAGGAGCTTCTTCAGGTACGGCCGAAAGAGGAACAGGTTCAACAGGTAGAGACACTCCCGTCATTGGTTCACCCTGTGCTTCGGGTTCAGCCGAGGTGGTTGTAGATGAGGAAGTCGTTGGTATCTGTCGATCATGGTACGCCGCATCGATGACTTCCTGAATGGCATCTTGCCATACCTCACTCGCGACTTGTTCCAGGGAACTGGCTGGTCTCAAATGCTCAATGGCGCACTTGGTCAGTTGTCCTCTGAAACTCACATATCCATTCACATTGCCCTCCAAAGCGACGAGGAGGGCAGGGCCATGCCATCGCTTGAGACTGAGGCGTTTCTTGGATGCAGCTGTTCGGTTGTTGAACCGAGTTTGCCTGAAGAAGTAGACGATATCTCCAGGAGATAGGCCATGCTCTGCCGTCGGTCCTCGAGAGCGGGCTAGTTCAGCTCGTCGAAGGCCTTTGGAAAAATGAAGGCGCACCATCGCCAAGCGAGCAGTCTCTCGCATGGCAACTTGTCTGGCCAAACTTGGCCGAGAGTCGATGAGTCCATGCTCACTCAAGCGGCGACCAAAATCACCAAGGCAATCTCCGTGCATCCGGGGTTGCTTTCCAAAGGCAGCTTGCGTAGGAGAGACACCAGCGTCGTTGATGTCCGAGTTGTAGGCGCTTACTGCCTCCTGGAGACAAAGTTCAACATCATCTTTTCCCAAGGCCGAATGAGCCTTGATGCACGAACGAAGAATGCCCTTCAGGATAGCGCCACCGCGCTCACATACACCATTCTGCCAAGGGGCTTGGACCGCGGTGTGGTGGAGGTAGATGCTCCATGAACTGCAGAACTCTTCAAACTCAGCAGACACGAACTCTTTGCCCTGATCTGCTATCAGGACTCTTGGTGCTCCCAAGATGGGTAGCCACCTGGTCTTGAAGAAGCGCTCCACCATGCTCGAACCTTTTGTTTCCAAAACTTCAGCAAACTGCAGCCTGGAGACATAGTCAATGGCATGGATCACATAGAAGCGCTTTTCGCCAATGTCTTCAATCTCAAAGAGGTCCACATGGACCTGGTCGCCCACATCCTTGGGTAGTGGCAAGGTAGCAGGCCGTCGGGCCTTTGGGATCTTCCGCTCGTCGCAAATTGAGCATTTGAGGTGACGAGCAGCATGGATGATGTCCGGAGGGGCACCAGTGATAGCCAGTGCTCTGGCTAGGCGACGGCCAGATCGGTGGCCCGCGTTTTCATGTAGGCGTCGAAGAGCTTGCTTCACAGCAGCTGACACCTTGGGTCCAGTGACAGCTTCAGTGGACTCCTGATCAGAGTCACTCAGGTTCATGTCAATCGGCAGGGCGGTCTCATCTTCAGCCTCCTCACCGCCTTCGATGGCAAGGGTGTTGTGTGGTCTTTTGAAGTCAGCTTCAAATTGCTTTTCCATTCCAACCACCAGGGCCTTGGCGAGGGCCCACGGATAGTGGCCAGCGGGCTCTGAAACAGCTTTTCCCCCAATGATGTGACCATGAGGGTGATTGCCAAGACACTTCATGCCGTCCAGTTGGGAAAGGATCTCATCACTCGAAGTGGCTATCCTCGTAGCTTTCCGAAGTAGGTCACCCGCCTGGTTCTTCAAGCGGAATCGGCATTGGTGGAAGACTACACAACGGGCCTCAAGTTGCTCCAAGGCTCTTTGCATCTCTTCCAGGGTCCATGCTCTAGAGGATTGAGGGTTCTCCAAAACAAAGTGACAACCACGACTCTTCTGGTCCTTGGCCAATTGGAGGGCGAACTGCAAGAGGGTGATCGCTTCCTCATACATCTTGGCGCCATTCTTCGGAGGGTTGAGGTTGAGTAACACACTCCAAAAGGAACAAGGAAATGCCAGCACCAAAAAGAAAGGACTTTCACGCTTCAGGACGGCTCTGGCAGCTTTGCGATCCAGTGGACGGAGAAAGTTCCATCCTGATTCCAAGCTCATTGAGGCTCCCACTCGATGTCCTCGTTTGCGAGCCGTCTGCGCAACTCGCTCTGTGTTTGTGTAGACCTCAGTGACAAAGGTCTTGGGGAAGCGGTCATTCTCAACAAGGTCGGGGTTCTTTGAAATCAACCTATTCTCAGACATGGCATGGGACTGAAAAGACTTCTCATCGCCAACGGTGAGGGTGGTGACAAAGATCTCGTTCTGGAAGTGGTCCATCGCTCGATGCCACTGCTCCTCATAGACTTCATTCACTTCCTTGGCACTGAGCGACACAAGGCGACGGTCTCTTTCACGACGCTCCCATCCGAAATCAGTTTTGCCTGACCAGGTTTCACCGCCTGATGTATCTTCCAAGGATTCGTCTCCAGCTCGAGCATCGGTCTCACTGGTCGCGAGGAGGAATTCCATTGGCCTGGCGCCACTCCAAGTCGTCCTGGTAGTAGTCGCGGTTCATCTGTTGAATCTCGTCTTGGGTCCAGCCGAAGTCCATGGTTGCTTCGGTTTCCATCGGACCGGAAGTCATAGGTCCTGGCAGGTGCGATGCTTGGTGCAGGGTCGAAATGCTCTGTAGCACTTGGTTCAGCATCCCTTGGAACTTGTGGTCCTGCGTGGTGAGGACTTCCTGTAGCTCTTGAGCGGTCACTCCAGGAGATGCCTTGGCCTTTGCGCCAATTGTCTCGGGTGCTTGAGAAGGTCTCGCCATTGACGTCTCGGGGACATGTCTTTCCGTTGAACTGGTAGATCCACTTGCCTTCGAGGGAGTCGGCTTTTGAGCAATCTCGGCAACCAAGGGGCGGCAAGCTTTCTTGAGGTCTTCCACAGTCATTCCAGTCTGGACGGGGATGTTCAGGAGTGAAGCCAGTTTCACCAGATCTGCCTTCAACGTTGGCAGGCCTCCCTTTGGGCCGATGAGGGAGCGCACCATGTCGTGCTTCTCTCCACGCTTGGTAGCGGCCTCGGCTTCGAGTTGGGCTTCCTGAATGGCATCCCGCTTCAATTGGGCCGTCAGGCCTTTGCTGGCGCGCGCCGCAAGCATTCCTTGCAACATGTTGTCCTCCATGAAGGCGAAGTTGAGGCCAGCACGGTTCCTGAATTGTCCCAAGTCCAGGAGATTCTTGGTCGTGTACACTGACGGTTCTTGGGTTCGAGCTCGCTGCCAGTGCTTGACCATCAATGCCTTTGGCTTCTGGAGGGTCATAGATTCGGCTTGTTCTTGCCAATGTCTGGTATGGCTGATGCTGGGGTACGGAAAGGGCGCGTACCGCAGCTGCGGACGAGGCAACAGCCATAAGAGCAAGCCATGTGCGTGCCAAGCGGCCTTTGCGCGAAGGCGGAGAAGCATTCGCCGCCAGCGCAGCACCACCTTCGTGTAGTCGTTCTCGGTCAGGTCGAAGTGCTGGGCCGCTTCCATTACGATCCACAGATCCTGCGAGGGCTCGAAAGGTCGTCGAAGAGGATGTCGTCGGGGCTGAAGGACGTGTTTGAGCCACCTTCATAGCTTGAGCCCCGGCCGAGGTCGCAGCAAGGATCGCATGCTCTGTCACAAGGTGCTCATGCGGTGCTTCGGAGGTTGACTCAAAAGGCACTTCAAAATGACTCATCTTCAATTGCAACTGTTTCTTCCAAAAATCAAAACTGTTCAACTGAAGTTCAACTATGCCGTCTTGTCCAAGTTTCCGCCAGCGTTGGGAGTCCGGACGAGGCCATTGACGAGGCTGGAGTGGAAGGGCGAAGTGGCCTGCGGCCAGCTGACCCAACTCCAAGAGTTCGCCACCCACCAAGTCAGCTCTCAGTAGCTTGCGGCCGAACGAAAGGACCGCACCGATAGCGCTCAAAAAGTCTCTTCCCAAAAGGAGCCCCAACGATGGCACTGGCACTATTGACACCCACACCAAAACCAAGGTCGAACCCAGGGCCATAGGGAGTCTGTACCTCACGGTGCTTCTTTGGGTACCACCATTTCCAAACCTGAACAACTCATTCTCGGGGGGTGGTGATGATGAGGTTCTGGATATAGGAAGGAGCACGTTCGAGGGCTTGGAGGTAGAAGGCCAACCATGAGGAACCTGCACATGTTCTATTGCAAGCACTATCCAAAGCTCCAACGAATCTTTTGTCTTGCGCGAGACGTGGAGTGTTCTTGGGGTCGGTATGGTGCTGCATGAGGACTTCGAACAATGGGCGATCCCATGAATCGCCGGCGGCCACTGTCATGACCTCGTGGCCCATGTCATCAGGTTCTTCAGGAGCCACATGTTCAGTGTTCAGGGTCTCGGTGACACGGACCTGCTTCGTCATCTGGCTCTTAGGCTTTCCTTTGGGTCGAGCCAGGCCAGCACCAGGGGCCTTGCAGCCTGCATCACCAGCCCAGTGTCCCATCTCACCACAATCGAAGCACTTTGTAGTGCTCTTTTGGCGAGGGACTTGATTGCCATGGGGCTTCGTCGAACGAGGAGCCGGTTGGCCAGGCTTTCCATATCCACGGTCTTTCTTGACCTCAGCTATTTTGGTGCGTGCTTCACGCATTGTCAACAGACTCTCTGCGGCCTGTTCCATGCCGCTCTCCAAATCTTCAAGCACTCGAGGGTCGCAACCTTCAGTCTCGAGCTCCTGCAGCTCTTGGGCAAGAAGCTCAGCTTCGGTCTGGAGGACTTCTTCGATCGTCAGGTTCTCAGGAGAGTAACCCTGACCATCATCGTCTGGAATCAGCTCTTCATCTTCCGCCTCCATCTGGCCTTCCTCTTCAGGGGCCTCGGCAATCAAGGCTTGCCGAGGTTGAGGCTGCTGGCCAAAACGCTTGAAAGGTGGCCGGCTGGAACCAGAGCTCTGAGTCCGGAAGGAGCGAGAAGAGGGAGCCGTCGAGCTGGCTGTAGTCGAAGGCCTGTAGGACGAAGAGGAGCTGTGTCTGTCATGGGACTGTAGGAAACGCTGGAGTAGTGGTGCCTTATCAAAAGGTCTGCTCTTGTTCAAAGGGTCGGAGGAGTGCAAATCTCGAAACAGACGAAGGCATTCTGATTCGACCACATCATAGTTCTCCCGACCTGCCAATGCTGTCTCCAGCAACTGCTTCCTGATTGCATCCAGTCCCAAACGTTCTTTCAACATCCAGCCTAACTCCTCCTCCGGCATCACTATGCCTTCCCGCTTGAGCTCAGCTGCAAGGGTCCGGAATCTCGTGCAAAATGCTGAGATTCTCTCTCCAGGGCTGCGTTTGATTTCTTGATAGTAAAGGGATCGGAGTTCTCCCTTTCTATCCAAAGCTGTCTTCCCAACCGTGGCCTCCAAGGCAGTCATGAGTTTCTTGATGCCTGCAAAAGGGTCTGCAGCAACCCGAATCACTTTGTCGCCGGTGTCAGGATCGGTCATGGCTTCTTCCTTGGTCCCTTCAAGATCCTGGGGATCGAATTCTTCACAACGAGCCCTGACCACACCATATTGTCTAAGTGCCCATCGGGCGGCAACATTGAACTTCTTGCAGGATTCTTCATCCAGCGAAGCCATCCACCAGTTCATCTCCCGGCGGAACTGTCGCCATTCCGCCGGGTTGCCCGACCACGTCGGCACCCGGTACCAAGAGCTGGTGCCGGATTCTTCTGCTGAAGTCATCTTCACGGCCAAATTGGCCAAAAACAAAAGTGAGGCTGCTGCAAGGTGTTCAAGGAGCTCCGCAAGTTCTGAAGCTCTCCAAAGAAAAGGTGGTCTTAGACCGAAAGTGAAGTTGCGCAACGATGGTAGGGCCCAAAGCAAAAGGTGGGTCTATGTACCCTCAAAGGTCACTCCAACAAGGCACTGCTCGGCGGCAAGGGCACAGTGAAGTGGTTCAAGAAAAAGGTGTCCACAAACAAGAGAATCTAGTTATTCTCAAAAGGTTGGCACCGACCACGAAGTCCAGAGCGTCTGGCTCGAGGTCGTGTGGAGCAGCCCAGAAGCTTAGCTTGAAGGCCACGAAGACGAGGAGAAACGAGGCAAAGCGAGGCGAAGCAAAGCAAGCAACGGCGGAGTGCAATGCCCAGATCGAGATAGGCTCCGGTGCCACTGTAGACGCACTAGCAAGAGCGTCTGCCAGCGCGCCGTTTTCACCTAAGGCGCAGCACGAAATGGCTTCAGGCCTTGATCCAAGCGAACATGAACAACCATGTTCCTCCGCCTGCCCAACACCGAAGAGCAAACTCAACTTTCACACTTGTACAAGCTTCTGGGAGCTGTGTTGTTGTATCTAGTCTGTTGCACGCTGTGTGGCCAAATTCCGTCGATGTCGCTGCGCCATGCGGTTTTGCGCCGCCACGATGCGCGTTTGTCTCGGGGAGCGGGATGATTGGTGTCCACGAGTCTCATCACATCCGCAACAACTTTAGATACCGAGCAGATATACTTGTATCATCTTGTCATACATGATTTCAGGTACAAAACTCTCTGTACTTATACATCTCTTACTACGCACACCTTCTTCTACATAACCTTCCCTCCCATGCTGCCAGGCCATCCGTCTAGTTCTTTTATCTTTTTCAAATCGACACGTCCCACGCTTTATGTGAAAAAAAATGGCTCTTTCCACACGGCTCCGCACGGCCCTCACTCGCACCTCGATCCGCTCGATGGCTTCACGAATCACACTCTGTGCTCGGCTCGTGCGCTCTACGTTGCCATGAGTCCTGAGTCTGATTTGAAGCGATCTTGCCAAATACTGCATACTCAATATGGGTGGAAAGAGAGGAACAAGTACATAGAATCCAAAGAAAATTATGAGGCTATTGGTCCGCACAAACACCCACTCTTTGACATGGTACAGTTCCGACAGTCCGCATGAACTCTGAGGCTGGGTCCATGCAGTGAGTGTGAAGATGAACCAAATCTTGGTGGCAGACAAGTGAAGGTGTTGATTTCCCATGAAAGCCGTGTTTTTCTGAAGAAACAACAGCAAGTAAGTAAGATCGAAGCAAGAACCGTCAGCGGCAAGGTTCCACAGAAGCGAACTCTATCCTGAAGCTAAAGCGGAGCTGGCTGACAGCCAGAAATCGGATCAAACCTAATCAGCAAAACTGGTTTGGGCACGTGTGGGATTTGTCACGATGTCCCCAGTGTATTCAGAAGAACCTGGCTGCACATATGATGGGTCACATCTATGTGATCATATATGATTCCCCGTAGTCTGAATGATCGGTCTTTGCTCACCCAAATTCGCTATGGATCAAATGTGTAGCACCACTGCGCTTTCCCTCACACAATTGCCGGAAACACTTTTTAGCCCAAGATCCAAAAAACAAGTCATGCAATGGAAACACCCTTGCGACCGACAAAATTTACACATGTTGAACTCAAGCCAGCAAGCCTGTCAAGCTAGGTGCATTTGCATCAATTCAGAGAGTCTTGATTTCTTATACAGTAATGTTCCCTTTCTTCTTTCACAAAGGTTGGCACTCGTTCAGACACGAGAAAGTCATAGACCTGCTCCCGTGTTAGCACCTGAAAAATAAAAGAAAACGCAAGGACCATCACAGAGGCAAAGTCTTGCATCATTGCAAATTCATTTGAAACCAACGAATCAAAACCAAGAAGAGCTCAGACTCTACAGGAACCGTGCCATATCACACTTGGAGTGACTCAGTGTTGCCTCGTCATCAAACTGCTTCTCAGCCTTGACCTGAGGTGGCACACGAGGTGACACAGGCGGAGCAAAGATGAAAGGAAATGCGTCGGACGACCTTTATGGTGCGACTAACCAGCTGAAGGACTTGCGTGACCGTATGGTGAGATCTCTCCATCAACGAACCTCTTTTCGTTTCTTTGCGAGTTTGCCCTGAGGTCCTAATTTCCCATGCCGGTGTTTGACTGAGAGCAAAGCGGTCGCGGAAGGCGACCGGTCTTTGATCTCCACGACAGGGTCATCCTAAGCTACAAGAGCCCACCAGAGGTTGGAATGAGCGTCGTTCTACTAGAATCCCGCAGCATTCTCACGGTCAATCACCCAAAGCTTCAGTCATGCTCTCTTTGATCATTTGCACGAATGTGTAATAACTAGCTAGCAATTTCAAGGTTTGCGGTGAACCTCAAAAAGGGTGCAAAGGCGTCCGGTAATAGCCGAAGACTGACATGCACGGGAGACCTTCTCAGCACAAGACCTGAAGACTAACCTCGGACATTGCACCTGTCCAGAGCGCTTCTTTTTTTTGCCCGCCCTTATCTAAGTAGGCGCCTACTTATATAAGTGACAAACTTGTTCGCTCCTAGCTACTTAACCTACTGACCTAGACGCAGAATAGTTCCCGCTTCTACTTACAAATTTGGTTCCTAGATTTTTAGGGAAACTTAACTTCAAAGATTGGACCTGTCTTGTGGTTTGATGGAGTAAACTGAACTGCAGATTGGATCCATTCTTCATGCAGGCTTCTCTTGACCTTCAAAATCCTGTGGCTTGCAACCAATTTAACTCGGCCTCATGGATCCATGGCGAGAGCTTTGCAGCTCGAAGTCCAAATAACTTTGCAAAATGATACGCAAGCAAATACACTAACACAATTTTTGTCTGCATATGAAAAGACTTGTCAGTGTTGACTCTAAAGGAATGGAATATGGAGTTAAGTCACACTAAGAATATCTAGCCAAATCATGATCTTGAATTACTCAAACATGCTGCGGTTTCGAGCGGCGCAAAAGCGGCATAAAAGAACTTGTCATGTCGTTCTAGTGTGTCCAATCGAAGGGAAAATTGTCGAAGCAAGAATTTGCCCTCGGTTTGCCCATAGGAATGCAAAACCTGTCGCCCCTTGGCAGCAAGAATTCCGAATTTGCATTGATGAGGTATCGAGTAGGTGGTTGCTTTCCACGAGTTACTCATTGTATCTGAACTGCACTCATCGACTCAGACTGAGTCTCACGTCTCTTTCGTCTCGCGCAACGGTTTCGCTGTGCCGAACGAATTACAAAGGATGGCCTCAAGGCCGTCGTCCACGCCCTGTCACAGATCGAAACAAATCTAGCTGAACACATCAAAGTCAAAAAGAAAAAAAGCTCAGAAGAGTTCAATTGATGTTCCAAATGATACGTCTCATCCCAATGAGTCTTCATCACTTACAAAAATGTCTGGGATAGGCAGAGCTTGATTGCCATTTCGCCAACTACGTTCAGTTCCTGAAATCAAGTGTAGAATTCTCAATTCTTCACATAACCCCCGGCCCTCAGCCTCCTCGTCCCTGACCGCCGCCGCCGCGGCCGCGGCCACCGCCGCCACCACGGCCGCCACCGCCACGACCACCACCACGGCCGCGAGGGGCATACTGACGAAAGCGGGCCCGCTGAGCTTGGCAGAAACTGGAAAGACAGCCCTCAACTTTTGGGAGGTGCTCTGCGAGCATCCCTAGATGGTGGAAGAAGAGACCCGGTGTGGTGGGATGATGTGGGATGTGTCGAGTAAATGGAAGGTGAAGGTATCAACCAAACAGAGAAAAGGCTAAGGCTACTTGTGATTTTACAACCTTTGGACGGTCAAAACAACACCTGTTCGCATCTGTTTTGTTGACAACGACTTTGTTCAAACTGCCTCCTCTTCATCGAGGAAGTCATCCTCAAAGTCAAAGTCTTCCTCGTCCTCTGCCTCAAAAAGATTAAAAGCTGGCTCCTTCTCGTCGTTTGTGCACGCCCGTTTGCCGTGCCAGCTCCTTGTTCTATGTCTGAAAACCAGACGCCACATGAAAGGGGATCGCCTGTCCGGTGAAGATGCTGACAAACGATTCTCGTTCAAGACCTGACGAAATCATGTCATGTGCACTCCTGGAATGTGAGGGAAACTCTTGGCTCTGAGATTTCTTCTTCCAGAATGCCACCCAACTGAACGCCAAGCACTTATGACCGCTCCAAGTGGCCTAGCACTTCCAACAACTGTGCCACGTCACGAAAGCTCATGATTTTCTGCGCAAGGGCTTGAACGACAGTGCCGGGCAACAGAGCTTGGCTCGAAACCGAACAAAAGTCGAAACTGAAACCAAAACAGGTCTAGTTCGCTCCCTGCTCGAAGGATTTCGAGCTTGTTAGATGGCCTTGCCCTCAAACTCCTCCGATTGGAAGTTTGCCAACAGGGCCATTGCTATCTCGTCCTGACATGAGCTACAAACAGAATGCCACGCAAATGTGCTCCACGTATCGTGTAACCAAAGAACTGTCGTTGGGTGATCTCAAAATCCATGTTCTGGCTCTAAAACTCTGGTCTCGAGGCTGTCTCTTCTATGACTGTCTCTTCCAAAAATATCCCATCTTTTGGCGTTTCATGACTTCTGTCTTGTATTCCGACCTACCGAATGACTTGGATCGACTGAAGTCGCGCCGAAGTCGCGCCTTCTCCCAGCCGTCCAGGACCTCTGGTGGAGGCCTGAGAGTTTCATCGAAAGCATCAAGCCTTGCTCCAGATCCTTGTCGCTCATCGTTTTCTGCTTTGGTTCTTATATATCTTGATCTCTTTTGGGTCAGAGCCCATCTAACTCCATGAAGTCCTCGTCCTCATCGAACTCGTCACCGTACTGAGCCAATTTCAAACAGTGATGACGGGGAAATCTTATCCATGTCGAAGTCATTGAATGCATCCAACCGTATACAGTGTAGCCTCTGTCAAGATGGGATCTATTCTATCAAATGGATCTGTTGTAAGTTGCAATAATACTGCTTTTTGTCAAAAAAAATGTGCCTGTTCTTGAAAAAACACATGGCCTCGTCTTCTTCCGAGTACAAGAGTTCATCATCATCATCCAACTTCTTCGGAGCTTTGGTCTGGCACACAAACAGAAGTAAGTCAAAATGGCGATGGCCTCCAACCTACTTGCGATGGCCTCCAACCTACTTGCCATGGTCTCCAACCTACTTGCGATGGCCTCCAACCTACTTGCGATCGCCTTCAACGCACTTGCGATGGCCTCCAACCTAAGAGCAAAAAAAATGTCAAAGATTGCTGCCTTGTCTTTGGCATCCGCCTGCAGGCATCAAGCACAAAGCAGCAGACCAGCAGCATCAGGCATCCAGATCGATAGAACCTTCACACGAATTAACACTAGCCCCTGCCTTCAATGCGAGCAAGCTAGCCTCACCAATGCACACTCACACTCACGCGTATTTTGGCAAGCACAACTAGAAGGTTTCCAAATTCACAATATAGCCTTCATGATTTGGCGGATTCACAAATCAAGAAGCCTAAGCGCCCAAAGGGCCCACCCAAACACACGTCACACATCATGACGAACACCGCAAACGCCCTCATCGGCCTTGCTGCTCCGAGCAGCGCTTAGACCAAGGAACCTCAGAGGGAACGCCATCCGTATCTGGAGTTGGATGGTGCGCTAGGTTGGAGGCCATTGCTATTTGGGTTTGCAACGTTTGCGACAATTCAATTTCAGCAATTCGGCGCAGGAATCTGTGACCTGACACTACATGCGACCAAGCAACACTGGGGCACCTTCCAAAGTCAACTGCGACAAGAAAAGTGTTCAAAAACAAGCAGTTTGTGGTTGTACCAATGGATGCGCAGGTCCATCGTGCACATGATCCCAAGAGTTCTCGGAAAAAGACAGGGCCTGTCATGGAACATAAGGCCAGCAGGGCCTGAAGTAGACAAAAGAAACCAAACCAGCAATCAACAATAAATGGTTACTTACCGACAACTGAGGGCAGCGCAGCGTATGTCACAAAAAAGAAACCGACCTGAGGGGATGCAGCATGGAATACATCTCATTCCAACATTCTCTACATTCCAAATTTGTCTACATCCATTCCAAATTAGACTCCAGTTCGCACGGAGTGGCCTAAATTTTGACAGGCACAGTGTTGACCGCAATTGTTGGATTTCAATGAACTTTCTGGCAAGGCAAACTGGGCAGCACCCCAGACCATTTCAATCTTCCGACCAAGATTCCCATATTAAACTTTAACCGCCTGTTTACTCCGTTGCCGCATGGCTGCCCCCAACGTAAAACCCCTTGGATTGCCAAACTCTTTGCCGAGCCATGGAGTCAAAATTGCCGCAAAACTTTGGGCGGCTTGAGCCTAAAGCTTGGCATCGACAGCACCCTACAGGGGTAGGGACGCCGGATCCCAAAAGTATCTTAAGGAGCACCCCTCAGTTTCCAAAGGAACCATGAACATTTCATGTTGGATGGGGGCTGCTGTCTCAACAAGGAATGGGGAGATAACTGAGACAGCCATGAGGCATCTCAGTTGGAAAAGTGCAGCCTATGCATGCTTTGCTCAGGGCACCACTTCCAATGACAGGCCGGATGCCTTTGAAAACGATCATCATCAATGGGGTTTAGGCCAAACAAACTGCACTTCGGTTGACATCGTCAGAGTCTTTTCGTCCCAGCCGTGCTTATACGGCCGCGCCAAATGTCTGGGTGCCACAGCTTGCGTTCTGAGGAGTTTTGCTTTTGGAAATCCACAGATCGTTGCATTCTGGCTGCAAACATCACGTTTTGCATCAACTGATCTTCGTGGATTGCCTCGAATTTGCGACAGAACTTCTGCATTTTTTCAGATGGCTTGAAGATACCCCATCTGGATCTCAAAAAATATTGCACCGGCAAGGGACCCCAAACAGTGTGGAGGCTGGATGTCAAAAGAGAAAGCGTCCGAAAGAAAACAAAGTGCAGGTAACCAGAGAAAACTCACCAGGCAAGCATCGATGCAGATAAATGCCAACGAACAAAGCAAATACAGGCGAGGCCAAAAAGAGCAAGGAAGAAAATGCTCCATTGGATAGCCAGGTTCTAAGCAATTCTGCCTTCACGAGAACAAAAGGAACTTGGTGACAGCCGTGCAAGAAATGCAGAGCTGGTGCGTAGGCGCAAGCAGAGAAGCGATAGAGGAAACATATGAACGGAAGCGCGGGGGGAAAATCTAGGGATCTAGACGCACTGTGTCCAGAGCTACTACGAAATCTGCACTTCAATGTCCACAATGCACGGCACCTGCCATGAAATTTGCACGTCAAGGTCCACAAAGTATTGAACTTATTAAACCGGCCGCGACATCTGCACTTCAAGGTCCACAAAAAACTGTGCCTGCCACGAAACTTGCACTTCAAGGTCCACAAAGTACTGTGCTGGCCACGAAATCTGCACTTCAAGGTCACAACGTATTGCGCCTGCTACGCAATCTGCACTTCAACGCCACAAAATGCTGCACCTGCCACAAAATGTGTACTTCAAGGCCAAAAGGACTGCACCTGCCATGAAATCGGTCCACAAAGTACTGCACCTGCCACGAAGTGTGCACTCCAACCTCCACAAAGTACTGCACCTGCCACGATTTCTGAAAACGAACCACATATCCAAAAGTCACGGCTCACTGCACCTGCCACAAAATCAGAGCGAAGACTACCACCATGTCCAAAACACTGCGCCTGCCACAAAATCTGCACGTCGACATCAAACTGCTCCGATCTTCTGCGTCTGTCACGACAAGTCGACTTTACTTGGAGGCTTTGCCTGGTCAGTAAATAGTTACGATCTTTCATGAATTTACTAAGCGACCAGTATCTCTGCGAAGTGTGCCTACAAGCTAGCAACTACTTACTATATATCGAGGTGTCGCGCGGTGTTCGCTGCTATTTCCAGTACACGCATGCCTCTCAAAATCTTCGAAGTGCATTTCGACTGCGCAGGCTCGCAGAATCTGGCACAGGGCGCTGAGGGCGCTTGTCGCGACTGCGCTCTCGTTGCGGTGTCGCGTGCATTTTCGGACATGGTGGTCACTTTTCGTGGCAGGTGTAAGGGAAACCTCGTGTTTTGGTAGTCCAAAGTCGACTTTTCGTGACAGGTGCAAGGGTCGGAGCAGTTTTTACTTCGAAGTGCAGATTTCGTAGGAGGGGCAGCGCTTTGGATATGGTGGTGATCTTTGTGGACCTTGAAGTGGCAGGCACACTACTTTGTGGACCTTGAAGTGCAAATTTCGTGGCGGGCGCCGTACTTTGTAGGCCTTGAAGCAGGCGCAGTACTCTGGGGACCTTGAAATGCAATTTTCGCTGCAGGCGCAATACTTTGTAGACCTTGAACCGCATCCATGTAGAAACCATATCCAAAGTTATGCCTACATCGACTTTTCTAGCCTTTTCTTATAAGTCCCTCACCGAACCGAAGCCCTGATCCACGTCGTAGTATATTCTTTCCAATACCTCTTCTTTTCCAATCTTGACATGAAAAATACCTAGGTTATCAAAGGAAGTTTAGTGTACGAAACTTCCGTGTTACGGACATTCAAGAACCACTCATACACCACTGATCAGACACCACTCATCATACACCACTCATCATACACCACTCATCATACACCACTCATCATACACCACTCATCATACA